GGGGGGGGGGCGGTAGTCGAGTGGGAAAGTCGTCGAAATAAACGCCTGGGGATCCTGAGTCCGAACCTCACCACCGCCGCTTCCTCAGACAGCCTTTGTATGGCAGCAGCTAAATTCCCATCGTGCATTTCTATAATCAATAAACAAGAAGGAAGCAAAATCATTTATTCGATTATTGTTATTGATTTGTGTTGGATACTGTTTTTAGGGTATAGTTCTGACTAGATATATGGTGTTTTTTTCCAAATTGAACCTCGATAACTTTAACTTGGAGAATTGTAGTAATGGTAGTATGCACTGATCACAAAGTATGAATCACGAATTGGAAATCACTGACTAGTAATCACGGACGTCACGTCACGGGATCACACTGGTCCTAGCACGACAGTATCCCACACAACCGAGACGTGAGGTAAAGACCACAGGAATAGCAGTTCGTTTATTGAAAGAAATGAGGGGACTAAGTAATATGTAAAAAAACTAATTTATTGTCCAATCACTCTCTGTTGTGCATAGGGAAATCGAGCAACTCGGTTGTTGAAAACATTAGAAACAGGTACGGAACAGTATTCTCCAAGCCCTAATTCTTCCCAAATGATCACCACGTCTCTGGTGTTTGTCCTTCGGCAAAACTATGGAGCTCGCTCGTAGTCTCATCAGTACGGTTAGCACACGAATTCATGTTCATGCAATATGACATGTGTTTTACTTGAAATGCGTACATAGTACAACACGGATTAGTGCTTTCGGGTAATTGACGAACTGTGATATTGTTATAAGGTCGATGCTTAAGTATGATCGAATGATGACTAACTGACTGTTTTGCCCAGGTTTCGTCTCTTCGCCACGTTCGATTCCTGAACATCTTCAAAGTATACAGTTCAGAAATGGAATACTTAGAAAGTCTTGTTTTGTAATCCTTGGTGATTAATTGTTATTTATTTCGTGCGTTGCCTTGCACTGACATAAACAACTAAACAATGTTTTGAAATACAAAACTGGTGAAAAAACTACACCGTATCACCAGAACAAACCACGTACAAGTATACCATTTGGTCAGAAAATTAAATCTTGCATATCACTTGTCGACAATTCGACCATGGGAGCTTGAGTGCTTACCGTAAATCGCTTCTGAGTAGGTGAGGTGTTGCGAAGATGAGTGCTTCTGGCCTTTTGCCTTAAGCGGCACACAGCTTCGGGAATGGATGTATTGGTCTTTCCAAGTTGTCTTTCTATGCGCGGAACGTTGCACCGAACCATCGGATCGACGGGTAATGCAGACATATAGAAACGGCAATTTGTTGTTGCACTCCATTTCTAAAGTAAATGTCATGTTCGGTGTTCGGTGTAGCGGACAGAACAAGAAAGATCTGTAATGATAACACGCTAGAAAAAGAGCTCTGTACTACAAAATCGATCTTTGCACGTAACGGACATCCGGGACGTTTAGTCAACAAAATGATTCAGTACACAGAGAACTCGTTACAAAACACTGAGGTTAGGAAAAAAAAATCCGTTCAACAGGGACACATCAGCTGACATCATACAAATAATTTTATCCTACCCAACCGATAATACTGTCTATACATTCAAGCTTTGTGTGCCCAAAAATAATCTGTGCAAGCGCTAAAGCTTCCATGGTCACCCCCCCCCACACACACACGCACACACCATATCACGAGTAATCACGATGATCGGATGAGTGGACAAACAAACAGTTGTGATCGTGGTGAACCCGATTTACGGTCTCACGATGAAATCGTTTCTAGTAATCTGTGATTTTATTTTTCGAAGACCATTTTGTTCCCAAGTAGTGATATCTATCTATTAATATATATTGACATGAATACGAATAGCTGGAAACGAGCTTGTTCACCACTTTGTTGTTTGGACGACTATTTCGATCATCTTATATTCTGTTTTGCCAACAGAATTTGTACAGAGGACATGCTGGTGTATGAACTCCATAAAGGATACCCCGGGGTGCTCGGTGGACTGTGTGATGCAAAAACACGAGGTGTTTCTCGATAGAGTTATTGCTGTGAAAATGTCTGTGTACATCTCTTTACCATTGAAAGGTGACACGTCCGCATAAAAGACTATCATATCTCATCAGCAAAATGTTCTATGCATTGAAGCTGCAAACCCAATTCACGTTTAGCCCATAGGTATATCTGTGGTTGAAGGATAGAGTGCCCAATTATGTGTTTCCTATTTCACGTGCCCCTCTGGAG